GGTGTGTCACTTTATTTTTATTCGAGGGTAAATAAATAAATGTAATGTAAATGTAAATTATGCATTATATCTTTACTTTCATTGCTCCCCCCCCCCCCCTTTCCATGAAACAAAAAGTTTATGCAATATTGGAAGTGAAACTTGGGAAAACAAACACAATACTAGAAAAATATTTCAAAAGTTTTTCCTCAACTCAATTTGTTGAATTGTTGTAGCTCTGTGTTTTACTGTGTCAAGTTACCAAAAAATGCTAATATTAAAGGAAAAATAAAGTTTTATCAGATTGGAATTACATTAAAAACAGAGGTTTACATTCTTATACAAAAAAATGTGTTTTTAAAGGGTCACGGTGCATTTAACTAAAGGAACCGTACCACCATCAAACAAAAAGGTGTGACTGTCCCTCAACTCATCGTTTCCTCCCGATACACAAATGGTATGACCCACACAAGATGGCCGCAACGGCATAAAACTACGTTACAACCCCGTTGAAAACTTCACGTTCGTCACCTTATAAAAACAAATTTCGACTTCTACGTTATCTTGTTTTGACTACACGTAAATACCAAACATACGAGGAATCAGGCGAACAAGTAATCGGGCGAAATTTCGGTCGAACCAAGTTCCGCTGAACCAATCTCCCAGGCAGAGTTATATCCCACGAATATATCTCTGCCACCACGCGATCTTATGCTCGTCGTTGATTGGTCGATGCGTCAGAGTGGTAGTACTTCTTTCAAAGACGCTCACCAAAACATTGTCATGCAAGTGTTCGATTTTCGAACTTTAAGAATGTGTATGCGTTGTTTGCATATTTTGGCTGTTTTCAAAGTTAGAAGCTTCTTTTTATTTATTTCTGTTACACAAACGGTGTTGCAGTAAGACGATTTAGTCTTCAATAATACGAAGTGCTTTCGATAGTTTGTAGTTCTTCGCCTCGCGATCGACAGGGCCGTCAGCTTGATGAACCGAGTAACACCTTAGTAACCGTTATTCCGCGATGAAATTATTTTCTTTTGAAAATTATAAGCATTTCACCGTTTTCAGTATGTTTACGAAAAAATCATCATCAGCTATCGATAACATATTTTAATACCTGTTTTCCAGTAGGAATAAAGAAACACTAGAGACCTTTAATAACAAAAATACGCGAATGATACGCGTAGTAAGTCTTGTGGTGTTTCACCACAAAATGGCGGTGTGTGGTGGCAGAGATACTTTCGGTGATCTAACCGCAAGGAGCTCTGGGAAGGAGAATGCCGCTGAAGGTCAAATATCCACAGTTACAAGTAGTATGAGTCACAAAACCGGTTTATTTCACAACTATACTTTCAATGGGCAAATTACAATCCAAATTGTACAAAAACCGGAATGAAAATGTGGAAAATCTGTTGTTTCAATGATCCAAACTGTACACGACCCTGTATTTCAAATCTCGTTGACGCACTCAGTAAAAGGTCAGAAAGGTCATCTTTTGTTATGCTAATTTGTGTGTTTACGCTGCTTTATTCACCGTGGATAGGCTTCTTTTTCGTGCGGAATAAAAATTAGTTTGTATTCAATTTGAACTGTGTTGCGCATGTAATTTGTGTATGCATTCAGCGTACAACTACATACTATTCTTATAAATATTCATGTTCAAGGGCCATGAACATGATCTTTTAGTAAATGAAAGTAAACTCTTTTTTTTACTAGTTTTATCGAATTGTCAATATACTGGTATAATATAATAGCAATAACCCCCCGCCGAAGTTGGGTATACCACTTGATATCTCGTGGTATACCCGCCTTCGGCGGGGGGTTATTGTTTAAATATAATATAACATAATAGTCGACCACACAATTGTTCAAGTTACGGAAATCGAGTTACGAAAACATCGAATTACAAAAATTACCACGCCCATATTTCGAAACCACGCCCAAATTGTAACTCGAACTTTTACTTACAGTAAACCGAACTTCGAGTTACGGGCAACATTAATTTTTATTTTTTGTTAAACGTTCACTTTAGTAATTCGAACTTTATGTGGACGTTCAACAAAAACAAAAATATATGCTGCCCTTAACTCGAAGTTCTGTTGAACATCGAGTTACAATTTGAGCGTCGTTTCGCAAAAGTAGGCTAGGTTTCTAAAATATGGGCGTGGTCATTTTTGTAACACTATGTTTTCGTAACTCGATGTTCGTAACAATTCAGCGTCTCATATATTCCAGAAATTTCCACTTATCCCACGGTCAGATAACTCTTCAGTGACGTATCAAGCCAGGTGCATATTCGTTTCAGCGACTTTGTAAATGGTAATGTCTGTGTTGGAATCATTCGCTCAAAAGATTCAGAGGGTTCGGAACGTCAAGAGGGCAGTGCATATGGATAACGATGGGGGTCTCATTGAATGTTTTAGTGAGACATGATACTGACATTTGGTAGAAACCGAAATATGTTGTGTTTATTGCTTCAGGTGATAGAAGTTGTTACAGAGTCGAGAGTAGAGTATCTATCAACGCATAGCAGGGCAGTACATTAACGAAGTTGTGAGGCTATTTTAAGAGCGGTTTTTGCAGTCCCATCGCAATTTTTTTGTTTGTGTTTTAAGTATCGTATAGAAGGAAAATAAGCTTATGAAGTGGGACTGTAAATCATAGAGCTTGGTAATTAGCAGATGTCCGATATTGAGATATATGGTCAACATCGTATCAAATTAGCTGTAACGATAAATTAATCCATTTATTTATAAAGCAATTAAATCGCTTCCTAAATGAACACATGTCAATTTAAAGTGCACATTAATGAACATATGTACGACAATTTTAAAAGAAATCGGTGAAGCTATAAATTACTTCAATTTGTAATGAAGATCCATGTGCCGTAGAGGGCAGTACAGTGAACGGCATGCATGAAATACTGTTTTGACATACCGGCTTCAGACCTGGCCGACCTCTCCTGTATTTAATGGTCAATCTCGTCTAAATACCATACCACATACATATGTATCACAGTAGGACACTTGTTGCATTACACCAGAACTCACCTGCTTAATAATGCACGTACCAATTGACTGCAAAGATCATTTATCTGAAAATCGTCGGATCGAATCATGGGTGTAAACAAACTAGTAAACATTGAATGCTTTAGTCAATATCTGCAGTTGCCGAGAAGAGAATTTTTTTAAACTATCGAAAAAGCAGGTGTAGACTTCCAATATAGAGCTATTGCGGATTTCTATAAAATAGAATAGAGTGGTAATTTTAGTATCATAATGGCAAGGTCTGCACCAATTTATTCATGAACTAACGACAAAGCACATAATATACTGTTTTACATTAATGTAAATTAACCTCCGTTTAGCGCTGTGTACGGGCGATGTAACAACTTACAATTGTTGCTTTATAAATTTGAAAACTCAATAGTTTTGGTTAGAATTTTATAAATTACACGGAGCCACGTGGGTGTTTAAATTACCATTTATTTGTTGGTGTTGTTGCCATAGTGACATTCTTTTTCAGGACAGTAAGTGGATTTAAAGAATACGTTGTCATTCACACTTTAAATTATAAAATATCAGATACATGACTCATTAAATCTTGTATTTGGTCATTTCGTAGTAATATACTCTTAATTGCTCAATATATTTCAAAAGTTCATCAGGAATATCATCCGTTGTCGGTGGTTTACGTTTTTCGAATGACGAACTGTTAACCGCACTCTGATAATATCGCATCACTGCGGGAGGTTTAAGGTATTCCGGCCATGAGCTTATGTTTTCAGGCTCCCATTTCAGCATCGAATCACGAAATGGCAAACCGGTTAGTTTGCAGTATTTTTGCATCACTTCTTTCGGCGAATCAATCAAGTCGTTAGATTCAATGAGGATGGGTGGTTGACCTAGGTCGTCTTTCACGTGTTGAAATAAATCGTATACTGGTTTTAAATCACCACCCATGGTCATAGTGGCCTCGATGACATCATAAGGGAAGCGACCAGCATCCTGGTCCGCTTTAAGAAGTTTATAATAAGACGGTATGGATTGCATAGGATCTCGGATCATAAATGTGTGAATGTACCCACGTGGTAGGTACTTATCGTAATCTGATTTACTGGTGATTGAGGCAGGGCAATCTTTAACAAAGACTGCTTCGTATCCTGGATATTCGGCTTCCAACATACTTCTTATTTCAGCTCTTGTGTACCCAGGTACCGGAGGTACCGGAAAGTCGTAATTTCGATCTTCACCAAACCAATGGCCGCCTATGAACGGTTCGTGAAAGACTTTTATGGTTGGTACAGAAGCTACTGACATTTCAAATACAGTTGAACGTGTACGTGCGTGTATCCATAATATAACTTTAGGCGATGAGTTCAAGTTGTCGGTGACTGTTGATGCCATGGTGATCTACATGTAAAATAAATAAAGAACATAGGTCGTCTAGAGTATGTAAATGTATATTTTATAAATGAGAAGTTTGTGCCAAGCAATTGGAATATATTATGAGGTAATGTAATGTCAAGTTTTTTTACGCGTCATCACAGCAACACCTCCATCTCCTACTTTATTAATTTACGAGTGAATGTTCACAAATCTTGATATAATTGTGGTTTAGATTTTAGATTTTTTTTTTATAGTTTGCGGCTATTCAAACCAATCATTGGGTTCCTGCTTGCAGTGGTTTTGTTTCATGCCGTTTTTTTTACAAATTTATAAAATAACTGTGATTCCAGGGCTCCTTTTCATACAAAGATTAGTATTGACTAAAATTGTGATTTTGAACAATGCACTATTAGTTTCTATAGTAAAAATATCATATCTCAATATTTTGGTTGGTGACATGTCGTCATAACTTATATTTATGTCATTATATAACATTCTGTAGATCACTAATTTGTTATATAAAATAATGCTTTATCTATTCAATATATAATTTATTTGTGTTATACTGTATTAACATCATTCATAACGGTCACTGATATCCCTACGCATGTTTGCAATGACTGGCTTTTTTTGCAGTTTTTGAATAGCTATTGAAGATGTGTATATCAATTTGTACATGGTTTATTGTGATACAAAATAATTCATTAAGTTGAAACGTTGATGTCCTTAACCTTGATCGCTCGAACTTATAGTATCATTATATCAACAATAAAGATCAAACTTATCTGATTCTACTTAAATATCATAATCTCAGTGGTCAAGTGTACTGAATCCAGTGCAGAAGTGCAAGGTCGCAATCAGTAATGAATATAAGTCATTACATCGGCATGGAAGCTCTTGAATAATGCATAGATTAGTTTTTGCTTGAAATTCATGTATGTTAATAAACTAATTTGTTTATTAATTAGCCAATATTTAATGTTTCCACCAATATCTTAACCACTCATGAGATTCAATTAAACTTGGTACATACACATGTAGATGCTTAGAGATATGCCATGTACATGTTCAGTTTAGGGTGAAATTTTGTCCTTACTAACTACCTACTAGTAATTTGCATAAATTATGTTAAATCTATGCGGTGATATATATGCATCTGTAGGCAGCAGTGTCCGTACATTTTGGTAGATTTTCAAAATATCTAAATTTGATGTTCTTGCGTTTCGTAACTGACTTCTGTATCAGATCGACGATTTAGCCGACTTTTCAATCTGATGCGTCGATATCTCCACGAACAAACTAGCCGTGGATTTTTCAGATCTCATCCATGTTCTTTAAAAATGCTATCTGAACAGTATGAAATTGTGTGGAAATAATAGTACAAATGTACATATACTCACTTTTCTAGACTGCGCCTTCAGCAACCTGTGCGTTCCACTGAGTCACGAATATAGTGGTTAAGTGAATTTATGTGCGCGTGTGACTGAACCATCTTATCAATTATGCAAATGTGCTGATGACCTGTAGTACCCCAGAAAACAATTAAGACTGGTGACGAGGTCACAACTTTGTCACTTTGACAAGTAGTCATAGCAACAAAGCATATATGAAGCTGATAGATAAACAAAAAGTTGCGTTCACGCACAGCTCCTTAGCACGGGCTAAGAGGTCAAATTCCTTAGCCGTGCTAAGAAAATGTGCGTGAACGCTTAGCACGGGCTAAGGAATGCTAAGTACGGGTTAAATCTGATCCGAATTTAAGACGCGGTCTAGACCCCTAGCACGGGCTAACGAAGTATGCGCGAACGCCTAGCCCAGGGCTCTGTGGCGACCTTTGGGTGTGAAAATTGTCCCATGTTCGTATAACAACTCTATTCCACCAGTCATTACTCCGCGCTCGTTTCCACACTGATCGGGTCGCTGTAGTAGAGCGTACAGCAGCTCCAATTGTAGACAAAATAAATTTGGTTCGCTGTCTGCGACATGCATTAATAAAAGTCTGTATTCTGTTACGCCCGTTGTATACTGTGTCAGTGCATCCAAATAAGTTGGGTCCGTCTTCTCTCGCGTTCCTTTGCACGTCACTTCAAAATTAGAACGAAACATGCCAGCAGCAGAAATAGAACCTCGCGCGTGTCATCCATTTTTCGTTCGTAAATAGCGGCTTACCAAAGATCACCGACTAATGGCACCCCTAAGCCCATGCTAACGACTGGCCCTCCCTGTGCGTGGTGGACGCAATTGGGTCTAGCCGAAATGCAAATATGCTAGATAAGCCTAAATCAGCTTAAAGGGGCACCTTCCAGTTAAGCCTAATCTCACAACAAATTTAATTTCTGGATTACATTAACAATGGATAACAAAAGATAGATTAGCATTGTAAACAACATAAACAATAGTGTCCCATGATTCTTTGGTGCAATCCATGGGATTGAGCGGTTCCCCTTTAAATCTTAGCCCGTACTTCGTGTATCGTGAACACAACTTATATTATCATTTTAATGACGAGTGTATGCCCACGTGACGACATAGTCGTTTATTGTACTTCGCGTTGGGCGAGCGACCGTCTTATTATGAAGACACTTTTTGTCTGTATACGGACATGCTCAAATTCAGTTGATTTGTTAAATCTACAATATGGATATCAAAAAAATTGAGTGTGTGTCTTGTTTTTGTTTTGAATGCAACTTATAAGAAATAGATGCTGCATTTGTGAATTTAACTTTTTACAGAACAGCGCTGCAAGCATACAAAGAATCTGAATGTAAGGTTGTCTTTCAGAGTAGATATTTGCTCTTATGTTTTCTGTATATAACAATTCCTAATTTAAAATGCGACAAGAGCCGCTCACGAGGAATGGAATATAGGTATTTTGAAGTACTGTGGCGTTAATATACCTAATATACCTGCAGTAAACAACTCTACTCTCTCAACAACAATAAAACTGCTGCTCTAAAGTTTGCACCTAGTAATTATGTCCAGGATCACGATGGCTTGTCTCTTCTTACTGTAGAAAATCACCATATAATACCGTACGAAGACCATTATTGAAACGCCACGTTTTCATTTGTTGACCGGTATCACATGCTTTCCTATCATAGGATAACTGGGCAGTGTTCTAGGTCAAGGCACGAACATACAAACGGAATTGTGTTTGCCTCGGTCATATTCAAGGTTCCCCACATTTGTACGGATTGTTCTTTCACGTAAATATTATAGAAATATTAATTATTTTCTGATATAAAATTGCCTATCAGAGCATTCTCGTAGTTTGCTCGTGAGCATTCTATGCGTAACTGCAGATTTTAAAGAAAACTCCAACCGGGATTTTCGGGTCTCAACTATCCTTCTTTATTAAAAAGAACGACAATAATTTCGAATTTCCAGGCTACTTATGAAAATCAGCTCCTCTACTCATGGTACTAATTTCCCTAATCTTCATCACGCAGAGTTAGGGTAAGTAGTATTAACACACTTTCAATGAATCAGCCATACGTATCAGCGCTCCTATATATTGAATTTGGAAAACAAAATACATTCACGGATTAGACTTTTATTCAGCCATTGAGATTCCAAAATAATTGCTGTTAAACCATAATAGTATTTTACGAATGATAATTGAGAAAAAAATCTTTTTTACATTTGTGCACTGTTTGTCCAAATAATATCTCTCTCAATGCAGTATTTGGCTCAACTGAAGGGTGTTTATTAAAAATATATATTTTCGTACAGTATTTTTCGGAGTCGTTATTTTCTATATAATTTACTAAATATCAAGGCTTCCATGACTTTAACTATGTTCTCTGCACCACAATACTATAGTTTGTATTAAAAACACGTGCGTACATTTAGTTTATACGATTATCTTCATATATCATCAAGACAGTGTACAATTTATTCAAATTCTACACGACTCGGATTCTACTTGGCATTTCAACGTTTTTATGTGAGTTTTTTTAAAAAAAAAAAACAATGATGACAGAATTAACAAATTCGTTAACCTTGTTTCATTACCACATACACCCGTAATGGGGACTCATTCTCATGAGAAAAATCACCAAACCGTTCTCACAGTTGGAGTGCTATGATTTTCCAGGGGATTTTCAATGTGTATCAGCGATTATGTAATTCGTGCTAGAACTATTTTGCAGTTCGGCAAAGAATTTATTGGTTTCAATACTAAAATATTAATGATATAAACAATCAACTACAGATGGAGAGTATTAAAAATTACTACATTCACGTTACAGGATCTCGGCACGTGCCGAAATTTGTAATCCTTTGTGTTTACAGAGGGATTACAGCAGTTGTGTTCACGTTTTTCGGGACCCACTTAGGACTGACTCCGGTCGTGCCGAAATCACGCCCTCATTCGTCGATCTGTTATTTGACCCAAACATGGAAAACAATACGCATATGATGATAATTGCTATATTGAAATTGTATCCATTTGTTGTTAAGGTATTTATTACGAGTCATCGTGCACATGAACGGCTAAAAAGGTTTTAAAAACAATTATTTGTTCACGTCAATGTAGCATTACAAGAAAATAGCGGTTTCAGCAGCACATAAATATGCTTTGCTGACGACAGTTTGCATTCATTTCATTCATTACCACAGCGTCCGACTATATACTAGTATATCTGCATTCCTGTCATCCCCATTTCATACTGCATGTAGTATGAAACGGCATATGTTCTCTTAAATTTACCACCGAGAACGTGATTTCGGCACGTGCCGAGTTTCGGTCCCAAGCATATATCGGGACCGAGATCGAGTAATTTTCGGCACGTGCCGAGACCTCGAACGTGAACGCCACTAATGTTACTTTTATTAATATTACATGCACCATTATAGTTTATACTTGGCTAATTCATAGTATAATAATCTTGACTTTTCAATACATTTTAAAAGTTCATCAGGCAGATGTTTGTCTGTTCTCAGTGAACTTCGTTTTTCAAACGACGAACTGCTGACAGCGCTCTGGTAGTAACGCATGACCTCTGGTGACCTAAGATATTCTGGCCAAGAGCTTATGTTATCACCTTTCCATTTCAACATAGATTCGGAGAATTGAATACCAGTTGCCCTGCAGTACTTCTGCATTACCTCCCTTGGCGAGTCGATCAATTCATCTGATTCGACGAGGATTGGTTGTTGGCCTAGGTCATCCTTGACGTAATGAAACAAATCGTAGAGTGATTTCATATCACCGCCCATGCACATGGTTGCTTCGATTGCATCATGGGGGAATACACCAGAATCGTAGTCTTCTTTGATCAGCTTATAATACGAAGGTACTGCTGCCATCGGATCTCGTATTAGAAATGTATGAACGTACCCACATGGAAGATACTGTTTGTAATCTGGTCTACCATTAAACACGGCAGGACAATCTTTGACAAATACTGCTTCATAGTTTTTGTATTCTGCCTCCAGTAAATTCTTTATTTCTGGCTTGGTGTATCCCGGTATAGGTGGATCTGATCTGACATAGCGCCTCTCTTCACCAATCCAGTGCCCAGCTATGTAAGGTTCGTGAAATATCTTTATGGTTGACACAGAGGCTATAGACATCTCAAACACCGTTGAGCGTGCACGTGGATGCACCCATAACATGACTCTAGTTGAAGGACTGCCTGTACCTGACAATGCCATACTAATTCTATCAGTATGAAGAAACGAAAATGAATACTAATCGGCATTATGAGGAAGTATAATTATATATGTTGATCAAGCATGTGAATCTACAGTCACACTATTTGTTATGAGTGAACTATCTGCTGTTGCCCGAATAAGGTCAGCTAGGTGTGTTATAACATACCCCATAAATAACTTTAGGGTTGGACCATTTGTTTTTTGAGGGAGGGAGGTCAGAATTAAAAAAAAAATTGCAAAGTGAAGGGTTCTTCAAAAAAAAAATTGTTACTTCACCAGTGTAAAAAAAAAATTGTCACTATATGACTTAGGGAAAAAAATGTTTTCATCAGCTGTTGTCGTGTCATCTCTAAACACAGTAGATTCACTTGAATTACTGCGTCATAAGAATATGCCAATTCTTCCTGCCAAGAAAAGGGAGCACAGAGTACAAGAAGAAACTAGGTCATATATAAATGGATGTCAATGATTCGTGTTTGTGGATTAATTAATAGCATAGGGAAAATTATTATCTGCATTTCAATATTATTTTCAAAAACAATTTCACTCTGGTTGCATTTAGATTGTATACCATATATGCTCTATTAGAAGAGCATCTCCGATAGAAGCACATGTCCAGCAACAATTTCATTGATTGTATACTGATTTATTAAAATATGATGCATTTTGACTATAGAAACACGTCTTATTTACATAAGAGCATGCGCTACTAATAGAGCAAATACGGTATTGCATGCAACATCTCTGACAATTTAGCTGTTTTAGTTTAAATACATTTTACAGACTAAAACAGAAACCTTGTTAGAAAAGTTGCTTGCAA